AAGTTCCAATGAGCACAGTGGCCTCTGTCATCCATGAGTGGAAGATGTTTGGAACCACCAGGACTCTCCACCAGAGCTGGCCGGCCATCTAAGCTGATTGATCAGGAGAGAAGGGCCTTAGTCAGGGAGGTGACCAGTAACCCGATGGTCACTCTGTCTGAGCTCCAGCGTTCTTCTGTAGAGAGCAGAACCTTACAGCAGGAAAACCATCTGTGCAGCAATCCACCAACCAGACTTGTATGGTAGAATGGTCAGACCGCTTTTGTTTCTAACCTAAAATCAACCAAATGTCAACGTCTAAGGATGTTACAGCTTGACGTTAGTGTGGATGTTACTATGTTACTATGATGTCTATCAGACGTTGGATTTTGGTTGCCGTACCTGACAAATAAATGTCAGTATTTGACATCATCAATTTGACGTTGGTTTAAGATGTTGGCTTGACATTGGATTTTAGTCACTTTTCAACACAACCTAAAATCAACCAAATATCAACGTAATTTGACAATGTTATTGGACATCAAAATAACATTGTCCTTAGACGCTGGTTAGACATTGAATTTTGGTCACCTAACATCATGACCTTAATCTAACCGAATTTTAACATCTTACAACGTTGTGAGCCTGCTGGGAAGTGTCAATGTGAGAAATAATATTAAAATAACGAGTTTCCACGTAAACAATTAGTGACATAAAGTTACATTGAGAGACGAAAAATACTATTGCAATTAATTGTTTAATCGAATTAGTGGTCACAATTGTGAGATATACAGTCTTACTATGTTAAAAGAAGTCACAATATTGAAAAAAAAAGCATCAAAAAAAGCACAATGCAGTTCAGAGATGAATATATAATATCATGATATAATCTCTTCTAACAAGAAACTCTTGACATTTCGTCACCTTGGAGTTATAAGGTTCTATCTGCGTTCTGAATGATTTGGAGATATTAAGATTGCATTCCATATAGCAAACAGTATGTGTGTAACATTCAATCATTTTCTTTTCGGCTTGGTCCTTTTATTAATCCGGGGTCACCACAGCGGAATGAACCACCAACTTATCCAGCAGGTTATTACGCAGCGGATGCCCTTCCAGCCGCAACCCATCTCTGGGAAACATCCACACACACTCATTCACATTCATACACTATGGAAAATTTAGTCTACCCAATTCACCTGTATCGCATGTCTTTGGACTGTGGGGGAAACCGGAGCACACGGAGGAAACCAACACCAACACAGGGAGAACCTGCAAACTAAACACAGAAACGCCAACTGACCCAAATGAGGCTAGAACCAGCGACCTTCTTGCTGTGAGGCGACAGCCCTACCTACTGCGCCATTGCATCGCCTTTTGTCTAAAATTTGTTGTTTAAATAAAAGGTCTTAAAATGTAAACAACTTATAAAAAAAACTTCCTATAATGTAAATAAGTTGTTATTTAATAAGAATATCTCAATAACTCAGTTTTGACAAAAATGTCTGATAGAACTTTTTAATTCTAAGGTGACGATTTTATTAAACCTTGGATAAGTCCATGTTGACTTAAGATCGTTGGTCTGAGGGTCACTGACAATTTGAAGATACATCTTATGCTGTTAACATTGAACACACATCCACCCACCAACACACTGTTTCAAGTGAGGCTGCAGGGTGGCTTTTTGCACATTATTTCCAGACCTGACAAAGAAAAGGATTTACAACAGATCAACAAACAGCCAGGGAATCTGTTTACTTAGGAGGAACCGTCCATTCCCATGCTGATTTCGTATAGGACACTGCTGAGTAGCACCCCGCTGATAAATGGACTTTACTTTGAAGGCGTGTCAATGGGTTGGAACATCCAGATCTAATACACATCCACCAATGCACACAAAATACAGTAAATTCACAGTTTTATTAAAATTCATTGCTAAATATCAACATTAAGTCAACATTTTTGCTCAACACCACACCTGCCAGGGCTCATAACTTAAGCCTGGTGCACACAATGCAATTTTGGCTATTATTTGGTTGTCTGAGGTAAATTTTGGAAATTGTAAAAGATTCATCCTAGGCTACAATCTGTTTTCTCTGAGCATTGGTCTGAAATGTTTACAGACAGCTCATCAATGGCTGTTGCAGTCAAAATTTCCCTCATAAAATTCCATCAGTTTTAAATCTCTTAAACTTTGATGGTGCGTTCCAAACAGAGAGAAAAAATCATGGCCGGCAGCTTTCCAAACCGAAATGCTCAAAACTGGCCACTTCGAAGGGCCTTTAGGATAAATCGAATCCATTTGGGATTAATAATAATTTACGATTAATAAATTCGAATCCCTTTAGGATTTAAAAAAATGGCAACTGATGGACATTTGCCCTCTATTCAGAAAGGCTTATGCCTATGCACTAATCCCTCCAGAGGGACCCTCCAAATGAAACCCAGTGTCAGGGTTACTTGTCTTAGAGTGAAACCAAAAACCAATAGGAGTGCTGAACCTGTATATATTATTATTATTATTTATTATTATTTTTTTTCCATTGATCGGGGGACATCATGTGTCATGTGTGAATTTTACCAAATGGTGGTTCTAATGTTCTACTTTGATGGTGTTTATTTAATATGTATATATTTTTTTTCCATTGATCGGGGGACTTCATGGGTCATGTGTGAATTTTACCAAGTAGTGGTTCTAGTGTTCAACATCCAACAGTGCCATAGAAGTTCAAGCAATTTATGGCCTTTGGGAACATGCACGTCTGCCAGAAGCGGTAAGCACAATTACAGAGCCGTGGATGTGAGGGGTGGAGGACAGGGGCTGTTTGGGAAAGCTGGATGTTTGCTTTAGCCATCAATGACAAGAGCTCTTCCATCAAACATACCGTATGACTCTGAAGGGCTCTGAGCAGTGAGCACCAGATGTGCATGTTCATCCTTCTGACCCGGTTTCCACCTGCATTGACAGAACACTTGCAATTATAGACTTATTTTAACTCCCTTAGGGTTAAACAGCCGAGCTTTACTTTATTTTTTATATATTCAGCTGATCTCAGAGTCTGGCGGAAACACTTTTAGTCTAGCTTAGCATAAATCATTGAATTTCACAATTAGCATCACGCTGGAAAAATTTCATACAACAATTTTGTTGTTCAGTTCAGTTACTCTCTGCACTATGACAGTAGTATTGTTTTTTTTTAGGACAATTTGGCTAGAAACTATAATCTCAATGTGGCGCGATAAATAAACTATGACAGAACTTTAATTTTTAGGTGAACTATCCCTTTAATACCTCTACATTTTTTAAAAGTCTGTGTCCCATTTGTTTCCCCTTAGATCAAACTTATTTTGAATTCAGAAAGGATTCTCACATCTGCCACATTACTTTATTGTGTGTGAGCAGTGGGAAATCAGACACAATCCCTCATTCATAACTTGTTCCTTGTGTAAGTTGTGACTCAGTGAGATGTGCACAAACACACACGCACACACACACACACACACACACACACACACACACACACACACACACACACACACACACACACACACATACTCCAGACACTAAAGTTTACAGAGGAGTCCAACATTCTGCAGGATGGACAGTATATGAGGACAGAGGCCGAGGACAGTGAGGATTGTGTCCAGAATACATTATTACTCTTCAAATGTGGATTCAGACCTGGGGCAGGACAGAAAGAGAGGAAGTGAGAAATGAAGAGTGGAAATCTGACTGAAGCAAAGATCTTATTAAAAACCCTGTCAATGAAAAGTGGATTCCTCTGGCATTTCACTGCAGTTGATGAGTTGATAAATCTTGGATGAAATGTGTTGGATACCTAAAGGGATAGTCAAAATAATAAAGGCTTACTCACTTTTTACTCTACGTCAGGTGGTTAAAAACCTTTTTTAGTATCTTCTGTTGTTCAACACAAAAGAATATATTTTAAAGAAAGCTGAAAAACCTAACCAATTACTTAAAGTAGGAAAAACAAATTGGCAAGTCAACGGGTAAAAGTGTTGAACAGAAAAAAGAAACTCATAAAGGTTTGAAACAAAAATAGGGCCATACCACTGAATGTGTGCCTTTTCTGTCCCCAGGACTAAATATCTATAAATATGCTAAAAAATAACTGAAACATGCATGCTATTAATAAGCAAACTGTCCTTTATATGGTCCAAACTACAAATCAAATCTCTAACATTTAAAAGATTGAAAAAAAAAAAACTACCTAAAACACTGAAAAATAGTATTTTTAGTCTTTAACACTGCATTACACTGTAAAATATAAGCATTAAAATCTTAGCTTTTTTCATTTTCTTTTGCATTGTTATGTAACTCTATATCTCATCTTTGCCTCAAATACATTTATTAAAAAAATTATATATATATATATATATATATATATATATATATATATATATATATATATATATATATATGTGTGTGTGTGTGTGTGTGTGTGTGTGTGTGTGTATGTGTGTGTGTGTGTGTGTGTGTGTGTGTGTGTGTGTGTGTGTGTGTGTGTGTATTTTCTTATTTTTTTAAGCAAAAATAACATTGCATTTTTAGAAAAATACCCCTTGCGTGCATTTATATTGATTTTTAAACACAAATATAAAATGTTTGAAAATTTAACAAGCGAAATTTTAAAAAGAAAATCACTGTCTTAAGGGGAAAAAAAACGTAATTACCTGATATACTTTTGTCCATGCTTTTTAAAAGACTCGTTAGTTGTTTTTGGACCAATACATATTTTGAAAGGTTACGTTTGTGTTATTAGATTCTGTTTTTGCCACAATAAAAAGGCACCTATTTGGTGGAATTGGCCAGTAAATGATGACAGATCTTTTAATTTTGGGTGAACTATTGCTTTACCATCGACAAAAAGCTTTGCCCTCGATTAAAGAATACGCATGCGTAACATTTATTGTTTAACTACACCACCACTCCTGACAGCTAGGCGACAGCAATGCGCGTTACATCCTGGTGAAATCACCATCAAAGAAAATGCTCCATTCTGTTATCAAAGTGCCCTAGCAGTCCACCATCACCCTGTAGTTTAATCCTCAGTAATGCTTCATAACTATGTCTACCGCTTCTAAGGTTGTCCTGGGATTGTCGATAGTGCTCACTATCAGCACCGTTGCAGGCGTTCATATCAAGCAGAACTGGGACAGACAGGTAAATAGATCCGTGTCCTTCTAGCCAAATGAGCATGAGGCACTGCTGTTGAAGGGTCCATCAATGTTTTTCAGTTGCATTCAGTACAGGAACATGTACAGATTTGCAGAATAATCGGTTTTATAGACTACAATAAAAGCACTATGATAAAAGCTGATTTACTGGGGTATTCCGGCTGAAATGTACTGTTCGTAGGGTATATATGTTTTGTCATAATAGTAGCTGTTGTTTTCGTTACATTTTATTTGTAGTTTTGTAATTATCTCATACCTGCTTTAAGGCAAAACTTTGGAGATTGTGGTAAAGTTGGTTTTGTAGTTGCACATTCGTTCAGAGACAACTTCACTGACATGCTCCTATAATGTTTACCATAGTACTAAGAATATTCCGTCTGAAATCACATGCCAGTGTAACTTAAAAAAAGAAAATAATAATAATAAAAAACCATTAGCACTATTTAATTGACTGTGAACGAGTTGTGTTTTGACAGTCATTGGCTGCAAGTATGATTTCACTATTAATGATTTGCAAAGAATACTTTTCTGAAACTATATTATAAAGAAGAAAGTCTGACTGTGTAAATGCAAAACCAACTTTACATCAATATTTTAAAAGAAAAAGTTTACTCAAAATTGTATGTTCCACACCATTTATTTACACTTAAATTGTTTCTTTAGAGCTTTTGAACACAAAACAAGATATTCTGAATGTTGGAAAGCAGCAGCTATTGACATTTATTATAATAATAAAACGTAGCTAATATGGAGGTCAGTGGCTGTTTTTTTTTCTCTGTTAACAGTCTTCAAAACATCTTAATTTTTGTTCAACAGAGGAAAGAAACTCAAACAGGTTTGGCACAAGTGCAGGAGTGAGTAAATGATGACAAATTTTTAGGTGAACTGTAGAGCTGCACAATATATCGTTTTAGCATTGCAATATGCACATCCACAAAGTTCAGTCTGAATTATAGTTGAGCAGGAGCTACAGAATTGTATTTAATCAATGTATTTATATATAATTTCTATGATTTATGCAAAAAAAAAATCCTAAAATGTTTTGTCTTGTTGAAAGTGAAAATAAGATTATTTCACTCACTCCACTGGCAGATAATTTCATTAAAACAAGCAACAAACTCTTCATTCTCACTTATTTCTTTTGATGGTGAAAGTTAAACAATAATTCTACTTGGTCTAAGAATTTATTTGATATTTGGACTAAAAATATATTCATATTGCAAAATTTATTGCCAAAAAATAAAACATTGCAATATCAGATTTTTCCAATATCATGCAGCCCTAATGAACTGTCGCTTTACCTCACAGTCACATATTCTAATAGTTTTCTCTACCAACACCAATAAAACATTACAATTTTAACCATTAAAACCAGTACATAATGGTTTCTACCTGTCTGTTTTGGGACATATTCCATTAGGAATTACTGATTTTAACATGCCACCAATAAAAAACAAAACATTACCAGCAGAAATAAGTGCGGCCAATCCAGTTTCCATTCAAACCAATTTCATTTACATAAAAAAAAAAAAAAAAAAAAAAATTACAAAATCAAAGTTCTGTGAGGATTTTAATGACAAAGAAACTTACCATTGTTATTTCTTACCTATAACTCATAACATTAGTTATATCTTGTTTATAAATAGTTTTCTTTCATATCATAACATTTCTAAACAGTAAAAATATGCAATAAACCTGTTAACTCACATCCACAGAGGCTGCGCGAGGGTGTTGTGCGTGATCTGGAGCGTTTGGAACGGAAGCGCGAGAACCTTCGTGCGCTTGAGGAGCAGATCCAGCTGACGAGAGAGCTTGTGACAGAGCGCAACCGACGACAGGCTGAAGCCTCAGAAACACACGATTCATAAAGCGAACACCTATACTGGTACAATTAATTATTATTTATAAAGAAATGTACATTTGTGCAGCTGTTACCAGGATTTCTTTTACGGCTATATATTTGCATTCACAAATTTGAGCATTTCTATAAAAGTGAGGTATTATACAGTATATCAGGATTTAATGCTGAGGATTTTTACTTACTTACTGGTCCAAACATTTTACTAAATTATTAAGTGCTATTGATTTAGTTGTTTTGACACTTACAATCTTATATTATTATAAATAAATAGGGTTTTTAAGAGATCTTTTAATTTTTAGCTAACTGAATTTCACATTATCAATACCGATTTGACGTATTGCAAACAGGAATTGAAATAACGTACTGTCTGTAATAATAAAACAGTAAACAAAATGACGCACAATAGAAGAAATTAATGAGAAGAAAAAAAAGATTGAAATGAATTGAACTGTTTCTCAGCTAGGTCTAAAGGCTTGTTCACATCAACAACAAAAAAATATTATGATAAACATAATTTTAAATGTGAAAGAATATTGAAGTCTTCACAGCTGTGACTATAATGGCACAGAAGAACAATATCATTGAAATCACTTTTTTAAGAACATTCAACTCTTGAAAAACATTAATTTTAATGGCTAAAACGTTTAGGCTGTCAAAAAGTGAATCTTTACAATAAAAGTTAAGCTATTGTGCATTAATGTGGATTATAATATAGCTATTGTTGGAGTTAAGTGGTAAGAAATGCTTGTGAACTTTAATAAAGTAATTCAATGTAAAATCACCTGGTTTGGCGGGAGCACTTGTAGCTTAGCATAAATTCATTGAGTTGGATTAGACCATTAGCATCTTGCTCAAAGCTTGTTCCTTGATTATTAGGCTAGATTAGAGCATGTAAACCCTAGCCATATCGGCCTAGGAAATGACAACTTTTTAAATTCCACAGGTGTAAGTACACAATGTAACTGAGCAAATCCTGCGTTATGGATGTGGCATTTGCAGAAAAAACTCAAATAGATTAATGGAAAGCATATGTTAACATTATAATGAAACATCTGTTTATATTTTCCAGAACAACTGACCACAGAGTTATAGGAACAGAATAATATTGATCTGTAAACATTTTTTGTACTTTAAACGAGGAAAATAAACGTGCGTTATGGATGTGACCAAAAAAGTCTGCGGGTTTACAGTGTAAAACATACTTTGAGAAATTCTGTGAATTAAACTGCACAACCCAAAAGAAACCCGAAAGTATAAGAGTTGCTCACTATAGAACAAACATGATTGATTTTATTTTATTTCATATTTTTGAATTTATGAGGAAAAAGTGTTGTTATGGATGTGAAGTCTCTCCGTTGTGGATGTGACCAATGTGAAATTTCCATTTGTGTGACTTTGGTAAATCAAATATAATAGTTTGAAGACATTTTTTAGACAGAGACATTTTTGAGTATTTCTAAAGTACTGTAAAATACCTTAAATCCTTAAACTACCGGGAATAGAAATTTAAGAGTTCACATTTAGACGCTATTAGCAGGTTTGGCATGCTGTCCTGGGAGAGAATCCTAAGCTCAGAGATGATTGAGCCCAGGGCTCCTGCCTGGTCAGCATGTAAGGGGTCCGAGATCAGGTAAGACTCGAGAGTTCCTTCTGGTAAAGTAAGAAAAGGGGTGGAAGGGGGAATTCTTTCATAACAAAGGTAAGGCAGTAGGGTGAAATTGGTCTATTTATTATAGGCTTGAATCGATCTGATTGGATTATTGCTAATTACGAATGAGACACCAGCTGCGATCAATCATATCATGTGCTCCTCCCGAAATTAGTTTATAAAGCTTCACTAAAAAGTCGGTAAAAATTATTGAGATGTAATTGAATATTTTGAGCATGAGATGCTAATGGGATAATCAGAATCAATGATTTATGCTAAGCTAGTGCTCCCGTCAGGCTGAATAGATTCAAAAGTTGTTCCTATTAGGATATAAACAATTAATTTTCAACAATTTTCCATTAAAGTGTGATAAGATGCTATAGAGAATTAAATTTAGGACTTGCCAACCCTTTTTTTGAGTTAAAAGAAGTCTATCATTGTACAAGTACGAAACTGCACTGCAATGGTGTGCTGAATATACTGAATATACATACAGGTTTGCAAAAAATTGCAATTTCAATATCAGTTCAATTTTAATGTAACATTATGAAACCCTTGATTTAACTTCTTCCTCTCATCTACAAGATTAAAAAAAAATGGACAGTGGGGACCAGCGGGGTCTCACGGTGCAGGACGAGGAGACCATGTGCACGTCGGCCTCTGAGGGTCTGGAGGAGGGGGAAGTGGAGGGAGAGACATTGCTCATTGTGGAATCGGAGGATCAAGCATCTGTGGATCTGTCCCATGACCAGAGCGGAGACTCTCTGAACAGCGACATTGGGGAGGACGGAGAGGGAAGCTGGAACGAGGACATGTCCTTCTACTGCGACAAGTGCCACAAATGGATCCCGGCTGGTGAGAAGATTCGGGAAAGGGGACGACATGTTTGATGCACCCTTGTGGGATCATATTATGTGCAATATGTGTTTGCTTGGTCAATAAAGCCTGATCTGAAACCAGGTCTCAGCTGTTTTTCCTTTATTTCTTCTTTGTATGGTTCAGTCCAGCTACGTGGAGAGCAACCCAGCTACCTTAAAGGAGACAACTTCTTTAAGTTCATCTGCTCCGACTGTGCTGAAGATGGGAAGGAGAGTTTTGAGAGGATGAGGCTGACCTGGCAGCAGGTACACATAAAAAAGCCATGATATTTAACTAGAAAAAAAGTATCTGAAAGAACATTTCAGCATCTGTTTTCAATGAAAATGTCTTCACACATACCTAAACATTTTTCAAAAAAATAAATTATCATATTTAAAGTGATGTTTATGAATTGGTCTATGATTAGGTTCTACATTCCAACAAAGTGAATGAAATGTTTGATTTTCTGTTCTTAGGTGGTGATGTTGGCCATGTATAACCTGTCTTTAGAGGGAACTGGACGACAAGGATACTTCAGATGGAAAGAAGATATCTGCGCATTTATCAGTCGCCACTGGACCTTCCTACTTGGTTCTAGGTGAGACTGAGTACCAAAACTAGAAAAAAATTGTAATGACAAACCCTCTTAATATGTAAAGATGGTCAACTTGCATTACTACAAATTGGGGAAAGTGCAAAGCTCTGTATGGCCGCCACAGCAAAGAAAGTACTCCCATCTGATCAAAATAGCCAATTGTCAACCTACAGATTTGCTTGATTGTTACATCAATACCTGTCAACCGTGTGTCTCTGTTGATTTTGAGAGATCACATTGCATGGCATATCATGTCCTTTCATTGTCGTTTTCCAGACTTTGCTCCAGTTTCACTTTGTTTTCCAGTTTTTCTAATGTGTCACCTGGTTAATATTGATACAGCCATAAAGGAGATTGGTGTCATGCAAGTCTTTGCACATGCGTAGTAGCTGGAGCAAACTGCTTAAGCAACAACAGTTAAGAAATGATTATTTCTATAGCGCTTTTACAATGTAGATAGTGCCAAAGCAGCTTAACATAGAAGTTCTCGTAAATTGAAACTGTCACTTTAGTTTGCAGAGTTTGGTTCAGTTCAGTGTGGTTTAAATTTTACTGCTGAAAGTCCAAACACTGAAGAGCAAATCCATCAATGCACAGATTCACAAGTTCCAAACCAAGCAAGCTAGTGGTGAGGAACAAACTTCACTAACTGACAAAAGTGAAGGAAACAAACTAGAGAAAAATCATGCTCAGTTGGGCACGACCATTTCTCCTGTGGCCAAACTTCTTGTGTAGAGCTGCTGCCTAGGCAGCAGAGGCTGGAGAGTATATAATATATAATGTATTTAAAAGTTCAGTTGAGATTTCAGGATTCTCCCATTCATTTATGTAGTCCTTGGCTTAGGTTGAACCACCAGGAGGCATTACAAATATGGTCGCAGAGTGAACAGACTAAAACCTGGATATATTTGCTTTTTATGGTTTACACACTTAAGAAAGAAGACGTCCACGTGGTGGAGCACAGTGGCAGGATGTCTGTCAGTCGGCAGCCCAACGTTTTTCCGTTCAGGAGCGCAGGAGTTTGGTGAACCGGGTTGGTGGAAGCTGGTTCAGAATCGTCCACCTACTCTTCGCCCTGAGGGTGACAAAAGCTCTGCAGCCTCGGTCAAGGCAAAAGGTAATAATGGTTTTAACATTTTAAAAGTTATGCAGGATTTTCATTTATTTGAAGTGTTATTGTTTTAAGCTGTGTCAAAGCCATCTCTGGACCCCATAATCACAGTGGAGGGTTTGAGGAAGCGGGGAAGTCGTAACCCAGTGGAAAACGCCATGCAGCTGAAAGAAAAGCGTTCTCGAACACAAGAGGCAAAAGAGATTCGACGTGCACAGAAGGAGGCGGCTGGGTTTCTTGACCGCAGTGCCTCGTCTACACCTGTGAAACTGGGCAACCGTGCTCGACGGCCCGAGCCTTATCTGGAGAAGGGTGAAGTCATTGACTTTTCCTCCCTCAGCTCATCAGACAGAACCCCCCTCACCTCTCCATCCCCATCCCCTTCTCCTGACTTCTCTGCCCCTGGAACCCCTGCCTCACACTCCGCTACGCCCAGCCTGCTGTCAGAGGCCGATCTGATCCCGGATGTCATGCCCCCTCAGGCTCTGTTCCACGGTGAGATGCTACACTTGCTATCCAGCAAATAACTTTTTTATAGTTAATTAGTTAAGACTTAAATTTCTATTTGATTGCTACCTGGTGTCTAGAGGGTGTATCTGTTCTTTTTAGTGTATCAGATGGAAACCAAAATGGATGAATAGTCACACAATAGCCCCTTTATTAATCTGCGTCGCCACAGTGGATTGAGCCACCAACTTATTCAGAATATGTTTTACACAGTGGATGCCCTTCCAGCTGCAACCCATCACTGGGAAACATCTATACGCATTATGGTCAATTTAGCTTACTCAATTCACTTGTACCACTTGTTTTTGGACTTGTGGGGGAAACCGGAGCACCCGGAGGAAACCCACGCAAACGCGTGGAGAACATGCAAACTCCACACAGAAATGCCAACTGTCCCCGCTGAGGTTCGAAACAGCGACCTTTTTGCTGTGAGGTGATCGTGCTACCCAGTGCGCCACCGTGCTGCCCACCAATCACCCAGAGCAATGTAATTCTTTAAAGCAGTGGTTCTCAAACATTTTTCATCAAGTACCACCTCAGAAAAAAAAATAGTCTCTCCAAGTACCACCAAAATGAGCAGTATTGAGATACAGTAGCGTAGTAGGCCCAGTAAAGCAGCTACCACTCTGCACAGTTAAAAAAAAACATTGCAGATTACCTCAGAAATATAGGCTATATGTCCTATATGGCATATTATATACATCATTTTTGATAAATTTTGAATTATATGTAGCATGTACATGACATTTCATTCCTCCGCGTACCACTAGAAGGAAGCCCGCGTACCACTAGTGGTACATGTACTGTACCACAGTTTGAGAACCACTGCTTTAAAGGGTATCCTATTGAACATTCTAAAAATCACCCAGTGCACCCTAAAAGAAGCAACCTATAGTTCCTTACCGTCTTTCTAGAAACATCCCAACAATCCCACCAAACACTCAATAACCTTCATTCCTTCTAGTCAGGACATCCTAACAACCACATTGATCTCTCTTAAAATGCCTTTGTGACCACCCATAGTTCCACAACAACATCCCAGCAATTCTGCAAAACACCCTATCCACCACATACAAACATTATATTCAAGACCACCAATAGTTCTATAGTAATTTTCTAGCAAAACTTAACAACCACCCGAGTACCCTAAAAGTAGCCATAGTTGCCTACTAGCTGGCCAGCAACATTGCAGCAACCTTGCAAATAGATAGCAACACAGAACATCCTACAAACACCCAAATAATTTCCTTGGCAACAACCCAGAAAGGGTAAGGTGTGGATCTCAGGCGTGACCAACCCTGTTTCTGGAGATCTGCCTTCCTGCATAGTTCAGTTTCAACCCATATTAAACACACTTGCCTTGATTAATTGGTTCAGGTGTTTTTGATCCAGGTTTGAGCTGAAGTATGCAGGAAGGTAGATCTCCAGGAGCAGGGTTGAGCACCCCTGGTGTATCGTCCTGCAGAGTTCAGCTCCATCTCTAATCAAACGTACATGAAAAATGAATGTCTTCAAAATTGCTTGTAAATTACAAGCATATGTTTAGTCTAAGATGAACCTTACAAAAAATCGTGGCCTCCCAGGACTGCAGTTCCGTTCCTGATATAGAACATTAATGAACACCCTAGAAACACCCTTGTCCCCATAGAAATGCCTTTACACTCATAGCAATGTCTTAATACCCAACCAGAACACCTGTCCAACCCCTATATACTGTTGATTATTTCTTCACAGTGTGCAACCATCTTTAATAAAAAATAATCAGAATAAAACTTGTCAAGACATGTTACACCTTTTTGCTTATTTAAATTTGTTGCATTACCTTTCATCAGATGATGAAGAATTGGATGCAGAGGGTGTTATTGACCCTGGGATGGAGTATATTCCTCCTCCCAGCATGCCTTTGGCCACTGGTACCATCATGGTCAGGAAAAAGCTACGTCCGGCTGAGCTAATCAAACAAGAACTGGAGAGTGAAGATGAGGAGCGTGGCAGAGATGTTGAAGAAGATGAGGGCCAGGACGACGGCAGAAGAGGACGAGTTTTAGAGCGAAGGAAGGGTCTCCAGGACAAGGGGGAAGGCTGTGTGTCTTTACCTGCCCCCCGCCACACATTCATCAGCCTTTACGAGGAGCGCATGTTGCTCCACAAGCTGGAAGCATGCCCACAAGCGTTGGCCGTCACACCACAGGCCAAAAGGCTGCATCGTAAGTTACTTGTGCGGCAGGCTAAAAGAGAGCGAGGGCTACCCTTGCTGGATGTGGATCAGGCTGTGAGTGCAACACTCAGCCTAGTAGGAGGCGTCTATGGGGCACAAGGGGGTTTGGCTAGGCACAGGACAAGTGGAGAGGAGAAATACAGGACCACCAGCCAGGACCTTCGTATTCTTGACCGCTTTCAAGTAAGTCCTAAGAAAACTCATATGGTATGGGTTACAGCTTCTATTGAAAAAAAAAAATAAAAGCTTTGTTTTGTTTCTCAGTCAACAGTGTCTGTAAGGAAAGGGTTTTATCAGCACACAGTGTCATTCTGGCACAGGCTGATGGGTTCTGATGCTTGCGTGGATCAGACCATCAAGAGTCCCTACACATCCCGAGTACTCAAGCCATTCATCAGGTACACATGGACACATCTGAACCCATTTCCACTGAGCAGTACGGTTTAGTACAGTACAGTACAGTATGATTCTGTACAGGTCATCTTGATCAGGCTTGCAGTTATATTGCCACTAGTTCCTTTATTTGGTAGGTGCAGTGTATCGTGGGGAGTTTGCCATGATCTGCGTCATTTTCTCTCAAAAAAGAAAGCTGTATGGGCCATTCACTTATCCCATGTTTTGCACGTTCAAGTTCATTATTTCAAATGTAGACAAGTGGCAAACATGAACA